GGGAGGGTGTTGAATCAAATACCTCCCACCTCTTAATAATAATAATAGAGTTCACTGAGGTTCTAGGCATTTTTTTTTGTATCCATCTCCTGGCCTGTGCCTGTCCACAACTTTATCCCTGAGATCTTTTGACAGTGACTTGCCACCCATAGTTGTTTGCTTCAGTTGCACTACCAGGGGTTGAAATGCTCCAGGAAAGCTCTTTTCATGCTGAGCTAATCAAAATGACCACAGCTGAAAATCAAATGTCTTTGCGTGCCATTGAAGAGGTGATTAGCTACACCTAATTGAGTTTACCAGTCATTTTTAGGAGGGGGTGATACTTTTTTCAAACTCAGTTATTCGGTTTTTGAATTATTTTTTTCTGACAGGTTGGAGTTAGAGCTTTCACTTGGATGTTATAAGCTGCACTGAGTAAATACAGCTGGATTAAAAAAAAAATTGTCTTCATTTCAGACTGCAAAGCAACAAAATGTGATTCTTTTCTATACCCACTGGATATCAGGTCAGTGGGGTATTATCTTTCCACATAATCAGGATTTGCCCAATTGCAATCTCTCAAACTTTGATTGTGATGGCAATATTATGTTATTTGCAGTGTTACTCAATGAAGCTATACAAGCAAAATAGCCAGTTTTCTGGGAACATCAGTTTCCTGCCCTGTTATGGTGAACTTCAGCTCAATCTATATTGTTTAAATAAAAAAAAAAAAGTGTCAATATACTATACAATTCTATCTTGGCATGAGTGTATTGCTTTTAGAAATTGGAGGTGTGCTTCTCCGTTTATTCACCTTTTCTCTGTGCCTGAGGTTTCCTTGTGGGGCTGGCAGCATTTGTGAGCCAGATTACATCAATCACCTTCCTGATGAAGTGATGACACAAAACACGTTGAAGGTGGAATAACTGATCATTGGTGAAATCATTTTTCAACATCTAGTGGTTGATACCATAGGGGTTTTGTATAACTAGATGCAACCAATTAGTCTTGCTCCTCAAGCTTCTGCTAACAATTGTTATGTTTTTATGGGTGTCCATGGGTATTTTAATGTGTTATGTCAATAAAAGCTTTGTAAATTCTTTTAAACCTGGTTTAACGTTGTGGTTTTTCTGCTCATCTCAGAAAGCCCTATAACATTTTGTTTATGTATGGATTGTTATTCATTTGTTCTGTTTAAGATTAACTTTAGTTTCATAAGTGCTGCACCTGCATTTACTTTTAATGTTTAAAGTCCAACCTGTGTGACAGTCTCCTTCACTGTATACAGTGGCAAAATGAGTGTAGCCACAAAGAGACAAGTGTTATTTGGAGGATTCTGAGGTGAAAATGAGGGGAAATAGCCTAAAAAAAAAAAAGGAAAACAAATGCAAAACCCACATCTAAGGATTGGTAAGCGGCAATATTACATATTTCTGTTTGGGTTAGATATACTTCAACAGGATACAGTCCATGTTCCCATCGCACTCAGAGCCGTTGGAGGAGAGGGGGGGGGGGAAGAGTGGCATAGTTTGTCTGTCTTTGTGGAGACCGCTTACTACCCTGTTTCCCCGAAAATAAGACCTAGTACTATTTTTGGGAATTGTTAAAATATAAGAACTACCCTGAAAATAAGATCTAGTTGTGACCATTCCCAGGGCCGGTGGTGGCATAAGGGGGGGAACTTGAAGAGCCGCGGGAGAGAATCAGCGGTGCCAACGAAGCCAGCTCTAGAGGTAGCGAGGCGGCACCGGAGGGAGCAGAGCCAGCCAAAATAAGACAGTCTTATTTTCGGGGTAGCACACATAAGGGTGAAAAATCTGTCAGGCTAGATGTGTTAATGCTTCTGGATGCGTTAAGGTACATGTGTTTGTGCATTTACATGTAAATGCATCTGTTACCAAATCCTAACCTCAAATTAAATGAGATTTTAGATATGACACCTTTAGAAAAGCTTTTTAAATGCACCTAATTGGACAAAGTGTGACTGTAGCCTTAATTTGGATTAATAGTGGACAAAGCCTTCTCCGTGACAAGCTCAGAGACTGGAGCTACTCTGCCAATGCCAAATCCCTACTATGCATTCTGTATTTTTATGCTCAAAAGCAGATACTACACACCCATCATTCTCCTCCAAAGCAATGCTGACATTTAGAATCGCACTTACAGACCTTGTGTTTATCATTTGCACACGCTTTGCATATCTAATATTGCTGACAATTGCTGTATAACAATGCACCAGTAAATGACTAGAGGCGATTTCATGGTTTAAGAATTGTTTATTGTATATTTCATGCAATATTCAAGAAACATTAGAAGACTGAAATGACTAAATCTGTGGCAGCAGCTGATGGCTCACAGGCTGTCATGGCCACAGGCAAAAAAACCAAGATACAAAATCTGCACACATGTGGCCTCTGCAGTCGGTCAGCTAATAGCTGGGCACCTTGGGTAATAAAATATTTTGTGGCTGTAGAAAAAAAAAAAAAAAAAACTCAGCTGCAAAGGTCAGAGGAACTGACCACACCAGAGTTAACCTAAAGAGTGCTCTGAAAACTAAATAGTCTGTAACCTTGTTGCCCTTTGGCTCCCAGTCTACAGACATCAGAAATGTCAGGGATGATGCAAGCAGTCCCAAAGCCATTGGCATGATCTGGGGGCATAGATTCAAAGGGATTGTCCCCATCCCCAATCATGTTACAACCATATAAAGGCAATGTAAGGCTCAGTGTAAGAGTCAAGGCCTCAGGTACTCATTAAAATCCAGAGAAAGTGGTAGCAGATGAGAATCAGATGGCCCGAGATAACCAAAGTCACTGTAGGTGACCAATAAAAAGTTCGATGTGGCACTTTGCAAGCATGCAAGCAGTCTGCTGTGAACTTACCAGAATAGAGAGTCTTGAAAGTGCTCTACATGGAACCCAGTGCCCGAAGGTCACTTCCAGGCTACTGGACAAGGCCATTCAAAAGCCAGCCTGAGGATGGCAGCTCCAGATAGCTGCAGTGGAAGAGACAAGCTCCAGCAGTAATGTATAGAGGACTCTGACTGAAGCAAAAATCTTTGTGGGGGCCTGTTCACACTAATTGTGCTAAAACACACAGGACCACATATGCTAGTGCATTGCCATTAATTCTCAATTCCAAATCACCCCATAGGTGTGCATTGTGACACCACACAATGTGCAATGCTGTACAGTAAATAAGCTCCCTGCTACTTTTTTGTTCACTGCATGGAAACAGTTACACTGACACGTATTGCACATGCCATCTGGGAGGTGTGTTTGAGTGCTGTTGAGAATCAATTGCAATGCAACAGCGCATATGTAATTTGCTAAATACACAGATTCAGTTTAAACTTTTAAAGTCTTATTACAACGATAAGCTCTACACTAAACAGAATCAAGGGCCATACTGTGCATTAGCTTACCAAAAGTTTTGTTCCTGCAACAGGACATCAATAATACCTTTAAATCATGCCAGCTGCAGCATGGTAACATTTTGGGTCCATAACTGGACCATTTCATAAAATACTTAAAGAACTGCAGGCAAAAAAAATCTAGTTAAAACCTGCAGTGTAAAAGTCAGTCTAGTCTTGGTGTATGCCACTTTAAGTATGTTTATCATAACTGTAGCATTTGATTCAGGATAGATGGTAAAGCTCTCGCTATACTTTCAGTGCTGACAGGAAATCTAGCAAGACCAGCTAGGAGAGTTGTAGCTCCAATACACTAGGGCTACACTATCAGTCACTCCTCCATTCACAGAATACACAGCCACCTCAGTGTAAAGCTGCCCACACACCTTACAATTTATCTGCAGATTTTCTGTGGTCAGATGGAAAAGTTGCAACAGATTCCTCCATCTACACTTAACTGTGTGGATGGAGTAATCTCCACCTGGGCCAATCTGTTGCACTTTTTCCATCTGACCACAGAAAATCTGCAGATAAATTGTAAGGTGTGTGGGCAGCTTAAGAACCAATTACAGAACACAAAAACAGGGTTATTCACTAAAAGGGTGAAGAGTTTGGAGAAGGCAGAAGGGAACAATCTAAGACAACATAGCAGATATGGAAAAGAGAGGGACTCCAATTCAGCTCACTTTCCAGTTCAGCTATGTTGTCCTAGATTGTTCCCTTCTCCTGCCTTCTCCAAACTCTTCACCCTTCTGTGAATAACCCTAAAAGTGTTCTGTGAATGCACAAGGGGAGACGAACAAACTGTGGCTTCCGTGTAAGAGAGCTGCTCTCACTATACATCTGGCCTTAAAGCATAAATAGTACAAAATTAAAGTAGCACACGCCTCTTAAAACCACACGCTAGGAAAATGTATAATTCTCACACTGCACTGGGTGTGTAAATTATCCTTAAAAAGCTGTGTGATATGCAAAAGGATGCTGCAAACTATACAAATCTTAAATTGCAGTACACAATGCCTAGCTTCCAGGGTTGAGCAGTACAGCACTCTGGCTGCATCACACACCCCTTGCTATTCCCGGTTCACAAAGTGTTTTGTATTTTATGTTATTTTTTTTCAAATTATACAATACATTCTGTGATTTGAGGAGCAGGGGTGTGACTTTCTAAATACAGCCTGACATCTTTCAATGTTGGCGACAACCAAAAACAGCACTTTATATTAACCAAAACAAAAAAGGGAAGGACTTGAGTATAAAGAAACCAAAAAAGGGCAAGAATGTTAAGAGCCAAAATACAATCAAATATACCGGGAAATCTGAACTTTACAGTGTTACGTGCACTATGTTATACAGTTTGAAGTACTCAAATTACACAAACACACCACAAACTAAAAAAAAAAACCACAAAAAGTAAAATACAACAAAATGTTTTTAATTAGCAATTTGTCTTTGCAAATATGAAACTGCCACAGAAAGAAATTAGAGAGACAACATATTACTACAGTATAACCACTGACATTTCTCATTGTCCATGGGACCATGGAGGAGACTTCCAGGGCTGGTTTTGTATTTAAGTGGGGTAGGGGTCAACAAGGATACAGGTGTCTTACTTTAAAAGAGAAAATGGGTGGTTATGTTGCTTCGGGAAAGGGGAGGGGGGGTGAAAAAAAAAATTGGCCATAATATATAAACACTTGATCAAAATAAGCCTCCTGGAAGAAAAAGGGGTTGGAAGGGATTAGGGCTGGGGGGAAAAAAAAGTCCTTATGAGCATCCAGTTCCCTCTCAAACTCATTTTCTTTCCACTCAGTATCTTGTACATAACTAGATCTACCAGAAATCACGACGATGGTAACCATCTGGATCACAGTATTTTGTAACCACCACTCTGTTTGCAAATTTGCGTCCTGTGAGTCCTTGCATGGCTTTCTGACAATCAAAGACTGAGGTGAACTCCACAAAGATCTGGGGGAAAAAAAAATATGAAAACAAAATTGACTCAGAGCCCTGGTAATGTAAATCTGTAAAGCAATACAGAACCAAAAAAAAAAAAAAAACACCCCACGCAACAAAAACCACGCACACCTTTGTTTATCCCTCTTGGTAAAGGTTTCCAGATTGAAGCTAGTTAATAACTTGTAACAAGCATGCAACCTGTGGAGTTGAAGCAAACTTAGAACTCTTGATCGGTAAGCTACAGGTTCGGTACTTAGAGTAGCGGCAGAAACAATTTAGCAATGCAACTAGTCTTTTCTTCAAAAGGAGCTAGCTGCATCCATATTTCTATTCTTAGATTCAATGAATCAACTTGTGTGCTAAAACATAAGCAAAGAGCACCGACAGTACATTTACATAAGATCAGGCGTCAACCAATTTGCCTTTTTAAATTGAGTTTCAGAAGACCCTAAAATTGCCAGCAAATTCAGATGTCAGTTGCTACGATAACATTAGCAGTTTATGCTAAATCGTATATTAAAAAACACTGCAGTGATGGACACACACAAAGCGAGGCCTTGCATGAAAATTGGAAAGGATTTTTGCGCTCACATAAAATCCAGGAGATGGTTAGATCTTCCCATAGACTGGTGAAAAGGGGAACCACCCAGATAAAGCAGACAAGGACAATACACACACCCTCACGAGTATGAAAGTAGCACTTTAGGGTCAAGCTGAATGCTGCCCCATCTCTGACCTCAAGAGCCATAGGTCTAGGATTGCTCCCAATTCCCGGATCTAGCAAAGCAGCAATAGGAATCCTAAAGTGAAGCCTGACTAAAAGCAGAACAGGAGAAAGAAGCCCAGGGGACCCAGTTCATGACTCAGCAAATGACCCACAAGAAATCAAGTCCACCCCCTCTCCTTCTCTGAGGGATCATCAAGTGTCCTGCTTCTAGTCTTGGGAGCTGCCCGAGACTCAGGGTCAGAGGCCCTAAACACCTACCCCAGAAGTAGATTGAGAAGAAAAACCTGTCCTTGTACTAACGCTAAAAAAAATAAAATTAAAAAAAAAAAAGACTACATCCTTTGAAGGCCAAGTGAGTAATTTCCTTATTGGATATAGCATCCGCATCCTAGCACATTAGCCGGAGGGCTCTGCGCATCTGCATTGCCAACAGACCTATCAAGAAAGGGTCTACCCAAGAGGAGGAAAGAACTTTGAGGGATCCAATCCATTCTACTAGAAGTTTGGCAGATTAAGATTACTGTCACAGGACAAAAGGGCAGAACAAGCCAAGGAAATGCAGAATTTAAGGAGGGATTCCAATTGCTCATTAGTATAGTACTTAAAATTAAGCACACCTAAAATGGCATGGTGGTCTTCCTGTTAGGGTGGGTCACTGGCACATCCATAGTGGGCATAGACCACCATTTAACAAATTCCCTCAAGTAGTTGCAACGCAATCTCAGGTGAGGTCTAGGGCCCTTCAAGCCCACAGGGAAACAGGTGTAGTGGAAAAGGTCTTTGAAGCTGTAGGTGCTTTGAAAGACCCATGGCTGGAGACAGAAGTCTGATCTTCCAGATGCAAAGTAGGGTGCTCTGCATCAATAAGTGTCAAAACCATCTCTTGTAATTCTGAAGGAATGACAGGAGGCTGCTGCCTCAAAAACAGTTAAGATTGTGGCGATTCTAGATCAGATGCCACTGGACCAGTGGCCCCCGGGAAGATCAGAGATTGACTAACAAAAGGGGCGGGAGCACACTTGCATCTGTGCTTAGTACCTGCAAGGAATTGGGTACAATTGGCTACTCTTCTGTGACTGCAGTAGAGGCCTCTGCCAACTGAGAAGGGGAGAATGCTTCACTCAGAGCCATGGCAGACTCCAATGAGGCAGATACTAGGACCATAATGTGACAATTTCAGACTACAGGCATGTGTGCCCTCAGAAGCTATAGTGTAAACATCATGTGTCTAGATAAAGACTTTCTAGATGTTGCAATGCTTCTACTGTAGGCTGAAGGAATGAGCAAAAGGTCTCAAACTGCCAAACCTAGGCAAGCTGGTCAGAAGGCTGGAGGTGACCAACATCAGAAGCAAGAATAAACAGTAGACTGGACTTCACCTAGATAGAGGTAAGGCACAGTGATGGCACGGGTGCCTCTGAAAGTGTATAGAAACCAAGGCAGGTAATTTGTTTTTCTACTTGGGCCTCTAGTAAATGTGGTTACCTTTTTTCGTGCAAGGCCCGCTTTAAGGATCATTTTTATGTTGCCTAAAGCTCTTTTCACATTTTTTTTTTAAAAGTTGGCAAAAAAACTTTCAAACCTAGGCTACAGCATCAGAACAAGTAGTAAAGAGGTAAGCCCAATATGCAATGGTTCCAGACACTGATTAAAGCATAACTGGAAGCCAATGTAGTCACAGGGTTGAGTTATTTGCCAAGGTATTATCAGGTTAACCATAGCCACAAAAGCAGTCATGCTCCTTAGAAGATGCACCAGCACTGTCACATTGAAATTCAAGTTTTCTAGAGTGGTCTTCCATTTTAACTAAAAACGTACCTTGCCACATCCTGGTACTTCAACACCATCAACAGGTCGGGGTATTTCAATGGATTTAACAATCCCGTACTTGCTGCACTCATCTTTTACATCTTCCACAATCTCCTCATATTCGTCATCATCCAGTAGTTCTTCAGGCAACACCATATTCATCAGACACAACACCTCTGTTGGATGTCCACCCATTTGCACCTGAGAGCTCATGAGGCCAGGTACTTGAAGAGTTACTGGAGTTTGGTTTATCGTGCTCTAGAATAAACAGACAATATTTTTTAGATGCGAGGACCTTAAAAACATTTAGTTAATAAAAATGTTAAAAAGGGAATGTACATTTTTTTTTCTTTCAAAAAAGGGTACACATAAGAGGTAAGCTTTGTGCAAACATTACTGCATGTGGTTTTAAAAAAAAAAAAACTTGTCTACATTTAGGCTGTGGACATAAGCAAGTTATGGCTACGGGTGTTAAAAGCTTGAGCTGACATTTTGACAATTTGTTGTTTTTGTTTACCTCAACATTACTTACAGTCAGAAGGGGGCTCAATATGCCCCTATGTGACAGTATGTTTGAGTAATGGCAAGGTATGGAGACACAAGGGTTCTATTAACCCGAGGCTTCCACTAAGCCCAGTAAAAGTAAATCAAGATAGTCAGCTCAGTTGCCTCACAGCACCGGTGCACAAAAGGCACTGAAGATGGAGTAATTGCAAAAGTGTCTATAAAACTCTGAATTTCAACTATAAATCAAAATATGGGATTCAAAAAAATTTAAATCCATCAGTCTGAATCCTGCAACTTGTTAGAGATTAGTACCCGATGCTGGATGGGCACGGTCTTATGCCTCCCCCCGTTTATTCTCCGATATTGTCTTGCGTTATCTATTTTGCCCTGTTTACTCGACTGTATGACTCTATACGTGTTGCCCAGCAGTAGATATTAAAATGGCAGATTTGTGAACATAAAAAAGCAAAGTGGAGCTAGTGTTCTCAAGTTACCAGAATCTAGTTTACCATGCATCATTTTTGGGGGACCCTACTGCCTTTTATGAGCACAATTCAAATTTTGCCTCGGGCTATAAAAGGCCTTACCAATGTTGCATTCTTTGCGCCAACACTCGCCCTTTGTACAAGAAGCTTTTTGTCTCCCAGTTGCATTCCATTAAGACCAGCAATAGCCTTGAAAATAAAAAGGAGGAGGTTAAGTTAAAAGCAGTGAACACAACAGCTTGATGCAAAAATAAAAAAACTTACAGTAAAGGCATAAGTATATTATGCTAATAAACCAAGTTTACACATTGACTGAAATATATAGCCTCGGTGCTCTGCAATGAATTGAGATAAGAGTAGATCAGGGCACATACAGCCAAAGGAGCTTAATGAACTTAATTTAACCTTCATACTTGTGCAATGATTTGCACCATCTGGTTGCGGTTTTACATCTTCTATTAAAGCAAACTTTCAGGTACAGCAAAATGCACTAACTGCTGAAGAGAATAGGATGAACTTCTCAAGCAACAGGCAAGTACAATATTAAGTGCAGTACTCAGGGAGAGCATATTTCAGTTACTCTGAAGTCTGCAGAACTCCATGCAATGAAAGAAGCATTAATACACATTGAGGCTTACAGTACAATACAGTACAGTACCAGAAACACATTAGTAGGACTGCATCCGAGTGCCCATTAGAGCATTTAGCACTAAAAAAATAAATTCCATCTCTTCCTTTGTGCTGAAAAAGACACTTGTGGTTGTTTGAGAAGTGGGAACTGTTAGTCTGGTTTCCTAGATTTTATTCTCATAGCCCTTTTGCCATTGAGAGTTCTATGGTCTATTACCATTGTGCTCATGCAGGATATAGGACAGGGATTGTGGGGGCTCCAGTGTGCAGGCACCATCTCTTTAGAAGAATGAGAATGCAAGACTGCACCATCATAGTTGAGGCATAGAGATTTAGATTATAAATGCTCAGTTGTGACTTGTTCAGGTAAACAAGCAAAATCACCCTTTACACAAATGTTTCATATTTATCTCATGTGCATTTGATATCTACTTCAAAGCATTGACAAAAGCTTCCTACCTGATCTGTGACATTGATATCCACATATTCACAGAAAGCATAACCCTTAGAGAGACCTGTAGCACTGTCTTTCACCAAATTAAAGGCTTTCAAAGGTCCAAAAGATGTAAGCAACTCTTTAACCTGTTAAGACAAATAACCAAAACATTAAAAGGAACATACTTTTAAACTATCAATAGTTCGCTTTTACATATACTTAAGGGGAACTGCATAAATAGTTTTACACTTTGTGCATTGTAAATGTGAGATGGCAGAAAGGGGGGGGGGGGGGGGGGGGGGGAGCA